AAACCTCTACAAACTGGGGAACAAAATAAATCTTTCTTCTTCATTTGCAGGTGTCGGGTATTTTATCTCAGGGACAAGGAAAGTAACTAAGACAATTTCTTCACCTAGGGCACTATTTGTGGTTGAGTGATACTCATCCTAGTGATGTATGTGCCATGTGTTCTCGGCTAAATTATCAGCCTTCTCTGGGATTCTCTATCTTAAACTATAAACTGTCAATTGAGGCCAGTAACAAGCCAGCCTGCTCTCCAGAGCTGTTCCCAACACTAAACATCTCATGGACCTGAAAATGTTCCCTTCCATAGCAGTTGTCACAGGCAACTGTTCCAGAGGTGATTGCTGTGTCCAGCAGCCCTCAGTTCATGGTTGGATAACTGGCTGTAGAAGGGGGTTTTGAGGGGCTGGGGATTTAGCTCAGCGGCACAGCACCTGGCAAGCACCTGGCAAGCATGAGTGGCAAGCACGAGGTCATGAGTTCGATTCCCGGTACCGGAAAAAACAAACAAACAAACAAAAAAGGTGGTACTGGAGACCAGCACCTGTGCCCCTCCATAATCTCTCCTTCTCATAGGCCCTGGGAAGGCGCTGTCCACACAGGGGCCTAAGAGGAGGATGCTAACTCAGGTGCAAAGTCTGAGGTGCCTTGGGCCACCCTTCCCCCACGCCAGCCAGCATTGGGGTCTGGGCACACCACGCCCAGAGTAGGAGGTCACACCACAGAATGATAGGCCCAGAAGGCTGCTGTAGCCAGTGAGAGCCAGCACTAAGTCAAGGTGACCGGAGGCAAGAGAGGGTACACAGGAGAGCAGAGGTGCAAGACAGGGCCCAGAACCTGCCTCACCAACCTCGCCCTCCTTCCTGGCTCATCTCCTGTGTTCACATCAGGGAGCAAATAACACATGGAAGATGACCAGGGAGGGCTGGAGGGCAGATGGGGGGCGCAATCCCACTAACAGCCACTCACTCACAGAGCAAATGCCCTAAAGCCAAGTCTGGTCCTTGCAGTTGTGCTAGGACAGCCATGTGACAGATGGCCTCTGGGGCTACTGCACAGATGCCCAAGGGCACCCACCTGGGGATGTTAAGATTCAAGGCTGGCTTCCGGAACTACACCCTCATCAACCTAAAGCTGCAGTATGCAGTGTAGGGACAGAGCAAAAAGAAGTCACAATCAGGAAATGGGCTGCTATGGGACAAGAGGATGTCAGCCTAGGCTCACTCTGTGCAACTGGGACCTGCACTGGGGACCATGATTCTTCTCAGAAAAGTAATTAGGAGGAAAGTCTTTCTTGGTGTGGGAAAAAGAGAAAGAGAAAGTGAACCAACAGCCCACAAGGAGCAGGGGAGGAAGGCAGAGGGAGGCCTGCATGCTGATCCAAGGCGGAGTGGGTTTAACCTCTGAGACACCCACCAGGACAGTGACACCTTCCTCATTTACAGATTAGAACATTAAATCCTGGGAAGGTTGGCAAATGACAGGGCTGGATCTGGATCCACTTCTATCTACTGCACTTTTTTGGGGCACAGAGAGATGAGGTCTACACTGGGTGTTTTGGAGCCTGGCCTGGACACACCCACTCTGACCCCACCCTGGCACTAGTGGTGAGGCATCCTGCGTCTGGCAGGCATTCCTAGGAAACCCACTAGAAGGGCAGATGAGGCAGCCACATTACACCCCACAGCCTCTGTGTTGATCCAGATGAGCACCCTGCCATCTGTCACCTAATTTGCTCTGAATCCCAGCAGCTTTGCCAGGAAGTGGAGTGGGGAGAGGGCGAGGATGGGTAAGGGTGGGCTGAAGATCCCCAAGCTTTTGCCTGCATTCTTCTCACCTCAGTCAGGCCGCAGGAAAATAAGAAGCAATTGTGTGCAAAGAAAGGAATTAGTGAAGGGTCACCACCATCTCCATTTTCCCTTGAGCTGAGAGATTTCTAAGAGACAGGAAAAAAGTCAGCCTGCTGAGAGGGATCATGCTCCCCTGGACCCAGGAGCCAGACTCCAGGAGGCCATATACCCACCACCCCTTCCCCTCCCCCCTTCCCCTTCCCCTCCCCCTCCCCTAGGAGGTCCTGTGGGTAACAGCAGCCTGTTGCCCAGAGCGCCCTGGTGAGCACACAAACAGATTTCCATGGAAACCAAATCAAATCAAACCAGCTGAATAACTAAAGATCTAGGAATTAGAAACAGCAAAGCCAACAGGAAAGGCAATTTGGGGCACAGAGAGCTACCCAGGCATTATGGGTATGACCTAGGCATTATGGGTAATGGACACAACTCTATCGTCTTCTCTCCAAAGCTTCCTATACGGACTTCGGCTCTGGACATGGGAATAGAGGCAGCGTTTGCCATCCATCTCATCACTGTGTGACTCTGGGTAAATGCCTTATGCCCTCCCTGGGCTGTGGGTCTCCAAGAGCACAAAAAGAAGGTCACAGATGCTTCCCTTATGAGGTGGGTACAAAGATCAAGTGATAAGACACGCAAAAGCACTCAGCAGTTTCTGGTACAGGGTTTATACTCAAGAGAATGCAGCCATCGTGAATTCATGATTGTCACATTTGCAGTGTCAGTCTGACCTAAATTTAGAACTATCTCAACAGCACTTTTTGCAAGTTCCTACATATCTTGAAACTGGTCTCTTATCTGCAAACAGAGGTAACACCTGGTGCTCTGGTCGGGGAAGGCCTGAGACAAGATAGCATCCAGTAGCTTTTCAAAGCCTCCTCATCTGAAGGTCCAGCAGAAGGGATATGGCTGGACCATCTCAAAGCGTCTACCACTTCTGACAGTCTTGGACTCTAGAGTTCTAGCCAAAGAAAATAAGCTGGAACCCAAGATGCTCCTACCCTTCCAACCATTCAATTTGCAAACACAACTTCTGGGCCCCTAACACCAGAACCTTCTCAGCCAGCCCAGATGAAACTCTTTCCTGCAGCTACTGCACTTTAGACCAGTAGCTGCCCAACCCTATATCCTGAGGACCCCAGAACCTCTCCAGGAAGGGGGCCCAAAGGATGCTGGGATCAGCGGAAGGAACCTCATATGGATATCACTGAACTAGCAGTAGGACCACAGCTCCTGTCTTCTGCTTTATGAGCTGTGGCAGTCCGAGCGGTTTGCAAAGGATCAGGAGTGACACAAAAGTGAGAATTGCAGGAAAAGACACTCTATGCTTTCTAGGTTTTCCAGAATCAATAACCAAGATTTTAAATATCCACAATGACTACATGATCCAACAACTCCACTCCTACTTATAGACCCGCCAAAAATTGACATGAGTCACAAATAGCTCTTGTACATTCATGTTCAAAGCAGTATTAGTCACAGCACACAAAAGGTGGAAGCCACCCAGGAATCCATGAAGGAATGAATAGCCAAGCAAAACATGATGTACTCATGCAAGGGAATATGGCTCAGCCTTAAAAAGGAAGGAGCCCCCTGACGCGTTCGGCAATGCAGATGGGCCTTGAGGACATGAAGCTCAGTGAAATGAGCCAGAGACAAAGGGACAGCTGTGACACTCACAGGAGACAGTTAGAGCTGTCAAACCCACCAGCAAAAAGCAGACTAGTGTATCCCAGGGGCTGGGAAAGGGAAGTGCAGAGTTTTTTAATGGGTGCAGAGTCACAGTTTTACACAATGAAAAGTCCTGGAAATGAACACTGCTGTCAGTTGCATAACAGTGCAAATACACTTAATTCCACTGAGTGGTACACGTATGTGAAGATGGCACATTTCATGTTATGTGTATTTTATCACAAAAAAATGGGGGCAGCCCACAACAGGTAGTGGGTAGGATGTGCTGCGGTTGGCCCATCAATGATAGAGAGGTCACACCTCTGCTGTTCTCGCTACACTACTCTTAAACAAGTCTGGGCCATTCATCCTCTTTCCACATGATGAAACAGGCTAGAGGGGGACAAAGCAATGTGCTCAGGCCCAGTCACCAAGAAAGGGCACTGGGGCTTATAGCCATCTCTTTCTGCTTCTGGGATTTGGCTTTGATCCTGAAGAAGATGGACAGTCACTGCATAGAGAGAAAGATCTACCCATGGAACTGGTCACTGCCTCCCCAGTGGCTCCAGGGAGCCCTCAAGGTCACACCATGCTGATCTCCAACACAAGAAGGCCCACACAGCCCATGGCAGGGACTCGGGGCTTCCACGGCCTTGTGTCATCCAATGCTTCTATCTGCCTGCAATTTTCTTTTCCTTCCAAAGATAGTGCAAGACCTTGCCTGTGGATGGCTGAGGGAGCAGGCAACGGGGCAGGAGCCTCAGGAGGGAGCAGAGTGGTCTGGGGAGTGGTGGAACAGAAGAAAGGAAGCACAGCGGAGAGTGGCCCAAAGCCAGGGACATCTGTGTAGGAGCAGGCAGAGGTTCAGGCTGATGCATCTCAGCTGCCTGTGGCTGCCTGTGCGCACTTTGCTCCTCTTCCAGGGATACATGATCTCCCAAAGTGTCAGGCTTTTTTGTATCCCCCTTCTCCACTCTGTCTCAGGCTCAGAACAGCATGGGGCCACTCAGGCATGAGGATGCTGAGTCCAGTCCAGCACCTATGTACCCTGGGCTGCTGTCCTGAGAGCCTGTTCTTGACTTTCCTGCCAACTCTGAGCAGGATGGTTGTGCTTCCTTCAGTTCCAGGACAGCAAACCCCAGGGAGGGATCATTTCACTTTCCTAGCCAGAGTCTCCCTGTCACAGGGTCTCCAGCCTGCCTGATGTCCCATCGTTTCCCCATATGCGCCCCACCAGGCTGTGGGCTCTGCAGGCCAGGGGCTGTGCATCGGCCCTCCTCTCCTAGGATGTGACACTACTGCTTCTCTGGCTGGAACTCACACCACTTCCTGCCAGGAGACAGGCTCAGTGTGGGACCTGACTGAGCCCACTTCTTCCCCTTCCCTGGCACCCACATTTGAAGAGTGATCTACTTCAAACCAACAGAAGGAAAGAAAGAGAGGAGTGGGACAGAGCAGGGAAGGAGCCCATGTCTTCTACTTGCCTGGACATCAAACTCGTGCAGGAGGCCAGTGATGGTCTGTGGAGAAAACGAGACACAGGACAGATAGTCAGGTTTCTTAGAGAAATACTGCTGGAACACAGGGGCTCTCCGCACCAGGTCTCTATCTACCCTCCTGGGGGACCGCTCTTATTCAAGCAAAGAAAGGCTTTCCTTTTCATCTCAAATGAAAGCAGTCCAGCAGAAAAAAAGACATGTTAGCTGGATTCCTTTTTGATAATAGCCTTGGTGGAAAAGGTCTGACGGTCTAAGCCGACCTCAAGCCTGAGTGATGCAGGAGTGGGAAAGGCTATTAACTGGTCTCCCAGTCCCTTCCACATGCTACACTTTCAAAACTCAAACCTGACCATGTCATCATCCACCAGTTCTTTCAATGGCTGGCATCATCTGGATTCCGGATGAAAACCCAATCTTTCATGAGTGGAAGATGGGAATGGAAGTCTCCAAGCATTTCCCTTAATCTAAACATTGTAAATTTCAAGCCAAATTCCATCTTCCACCAGACCTTTCAGTGGCAGAAAAGGTTCAGAAAGACAGGGAAAATGTCCTAGTCCTCAGTGGAGCTGTGGAAGTATGACTCGGAGGAGGACTGGAGCCCCGCTTGGCCAAACTTTTCAAGAAATGTTGCTGAATATTACGATAAAGACTGGGAAAATTTTTATGTATGTAATGTCTATTATAGTTTGTGATAGTATTTCTTTCTAGTTCTCAGTGATTTAAATGTGACCAAGCCTTCTGTACTTTGTCATAAAAAGTGGGTTTTCCAGGTGACTATTTTGGTGAATGTCAAAATAAGAATTTATGGTGTATTACTGTTGATTCACTTTGAATTAAAATATATATATATATGTATATATATATATACATATATCAGCAAAAAAAAAAAGAAATATTGCTGATATTCTCCTGACCCAGAGATGGGAATGAAAACACCCCCTACAATCCAAGGCCCACCCAACCCAGCACCAGCTCCAGGAAGGACAGTCTAGGTTGAAGACAGACACCTGGAAGAACTTCTCCATGGCAAATCTTTGTTGAGTATATCTACAGAACTGTAAAGCTCTTATTTCCTCCCAAACCTTGGAGGAAAAGGTAAATCCACAATGAGAGGTGGACGAGGGTACAACCTAGAGTTGACAAGCTCTGTAAGGTCTGATTCAGAAATAAAATATACAGTAGGATGTGTGAAAAATATAATGTTTTAAAATTCATGTACCCTTGTGCCCAGCTGTGCCAGCCCTGAGAGCATCTCCTCCAGATGCACCTGCACAGGTACATGGTGACAGACATTTTTGGTGGAGTGAGGGGCAAACATTCTACATCATGACCTGCAGAGGCACAAGGTTAAGGAGACCCCCCATCCCCATACTGTGCACTAGCCAAAAAATTGGTGGAATACTATGTAGCTGGAAATGGAAACCCAAATTCACGCACTGCTCTTGGAAAGATCTCAAAGACACATTGTTAAGTGGACAAAGCAGGGTGCACAATGCTTTTTCCATATGGTTTATAAAAGGGGGTGTGAGGAATACGCTGATATGTAGTTGTACCTCCTATGGGTCTTTTGTCAGCTTAATTTTTAAGGCTGTTGTAGACCTAGAATAAGGATTTAGGAGTAGATTTGGAGCATACACAGTACAGTATGTAGTTGGTAGATGACAGTTCACTACCTGCTTTTGTAAATAAAGTTTTATTGGGACACTGAAAGTCTATCCACTTACAGAATGTTTATGGCTGCTCGCACACTGTAATGGCAAAGCTGAGTACGGTCATCCCCTCAGTGTCTGAAGGGAATTGGTTCCAGCAAACCACTTCTACCCCGTGGGTACAAAATCCACAGCTGTTCAAATCCCTTAAACAGAAGGAAGCAGTATTTTCACATAACCTATACATATCCTCCTACATACTGTACATCATCTCTCGATGACTTGTATACCTAAGACAGAATAAAATTGCGCCAGTGGTTCTTAGACTGTATTGCTTAGGGAACAGTGACAACAGCAATTTCTGTATATGTACCGATACAGTATGTTTTAAAATGGCTTGGACCCATGCTGGTTGGATCTTCAACTGTAGAAACAGTGGACACAGAGGGCTGAGTAGTGGCCACAGGGCCTAGGAGGGTCCCATTCAGCCCCCACAGAAGGGGTGCATAGACCCTAGGGTGCAGAATGATCATGAGCTTTCTGTTGTTTCCCCAGGCATGACTTCTTATCCTAGCTGTGTCAACCTCCAGCATGAACTTGGGCAATTGTGTTCCTATCTGAGGTCAGTGTCTTTATCTGCAAAGCAGGGAAATTTACAGAAATGAAATGACCAATCTATTCACCAAAGGGAGCTGGCATGGGTTTGATTCCATGCCTCACATTTTGCAGATATATGACTGAGGATAAAATGAACTCCTTGAAATTCCATCCCCTCTTCGTTTAACGAGGACAACCACAGAAGCTAGTTCAGCCACCAGCCACTATGCTTAGCCAAGAGGCATGCACCCAGGAAGTGGTCAATGCATGCTAATGATTATTCTAAAAAGCACTAGCTTGGCCTTAGACTGACTTCATTTTTAATCCTAAGCTTCCACAATTTTAAAAAGAGTTATTGACACAGGCAGTTATGAGTCTCGGAGGAGCATAGCACACTAGTGTCAGCTGTGCAGATAGAAAGCCTTGTCTACCATCAGCTCAATCAGCCAGCTGGGCTATAGCACAGGGCTCTTGCTCCCAGTAGCAGGACCGCTGATCATAGAAAAGTTTCCACCAAGAAGAGCTGAGGAAACACCACAGTCACTAATGAGTTTGCTCATCTCCTCTACGAGAGGCGGCTCTGACTGCTCTGTGTAAATCACTGCCCTCCCTCCTCATGAGCCTCCTACAGGACGTCTTGCACCTCTACTTACAGAGGAGGACAAAAGCATGAACAGAGGCACTCGCCATGGACATAGCTACAAAGCACTGTAGCCAGAACTTGACCCAGGCAGTCCAGTCCCGTAGTAGGTAGCTTTACCCACTAAGCTATGAGGTAGGTAGACCCCATGGGCACTGGACTCCACGTTGCATGTTCTAAAACCACAGGATATCAGACATGCTTAGAGAAGCCTGGCCTGATACCCTTATTACCAAGGAAGGCAACGAGACACAGGTGAGCCCACAGCACTGTAGCATTTCCTAGCCATGTTGGGTTTTAAACCCATGCCTCTTACCCCTGTGCACTCAAGGAAGCAGTGAGATATGTGTGTGCATGGTTTGGGCATGCTTTGTACACATGCATATGTGTGGTGTGCATGTTCGAAGGTATACAATGCTATGTACACACACGTGTGTGTCCACATGTGCATGCTGTGTGCATACCTGTGCATGCGATGGGAGGAGCCAGGAGCATCTCTACTCACCTCCCCTTTCTCCACCAGAGGCTTCACCTCAGCAAGATCCACGTCCTGAAGCTCTCGCGACATGTCCCTGCTGTCACCTGCCTGCAAGGAGAAAAATGCCAAGAGGTCAGCACTTCCTGCTAAGAGATGTTTCCTGGCAGAAGTACATCCTAGGCCAGGACATAAAAAGATAGGTAAAAAGACCAGGCCTTCACTGGGCCCACAGCTCTTCCCTCGGGCACATACATTGCAACACAAGCCAGTGCCCTGTCCCCACAGCTTCGTCCTAGTCTTCCTCCTGGGGCTGGCAGTAAATTTTCTGGAACAGGAAACTAGTCTCACAGATACAACTTCCCTTCCAACAAAGCAGATGGATGGAACGAAAAAACAGGCCCAACATAAGTCCAGGCCCACCCACCATCCCCAGAATGCTTCTCACTACATTTCAGAAGCAGGCCCACATTCCTGATCCCAAAATCAGGCAGCCTCACACTGGCAATGAAAGGGAACAAAAGGTCACTGCCTTGGTGCCCAGCATGTGCAGGCATGGTAAGCCTCACCTTGTACACACACACACACACACACACCTGCCTCTCTGCAAGACCCCAGGCTGCCTGCTGAGAGGGACAAGGCACAGGGAACAGCAAAAGAAACCTTAAGCCAAAGGTCTGACAGGTGCTGAGCACTGGGTAGAAGTAAGGGTAAGCCAAAGCAGGGCTGGGGCAGGCAGGGGCAGGCAGGAGAGTCCCTTCCTCCTCCTGGGCTGCAACTCAGCAGGTGTTGTGGGGCTAGGAGATGGAGCTGCAAGGAGACCATACAGAGGTGGGGATGCGTGTGGAACAGGCCTCCTGTTCTCCTGGGTGGTGAAACCTCAGAAGGGCTGGGTAACCTACTGAGCACACCTTCCCAAAGTTTAATCTTGGAGCTAGAGGGATGAACATTCATTTTCATGGATCAATAGTCAAGTACGAAAAGTTAAACACTCACCAATACCAGGGGTGAGGCTCAAGGATCCCAGGAGAAGGGTAATTGTTACAGGCAGCACAGAAAGAACCTGAGAGAAGGGTGAACCACAGAGGGGGATCCCAGACTTCTGTCCAGTTCACAGATTCCAGCCTCTAGAGTGGACCAATTCCCCGCAAAACAGCTGGCCATGACCCTCACAAAGCTGCTTCCAGAGCAAAGCCCAGAGTCCTGCTGCCCAAGGCCCTTTGGATACCATGGCAGGGAGAAAGTAAGAATCTCTGAAACTGCAGCCCAGACTCGGCTCCCTGAGCCCAGAGCCCCACTCCTCTCCCACCCAGCGCCACACCCTGTGCAACACGCGCCATGCTGTGGGAGGGTCCCTCTCGCCCCTGGATGCTCTGGCCTGGGGCCTCCTCATGATTTTCCCCCCCGTAGATAACCACCCCACAAGAATGCCTTTATGCAGCCTTTGCAGTCTACGCTCCCGAACATTCTGAAAACAAAGTCGGTTTTATGTCTGTGAGCATTCCTGGGCTGCTGCCCACTCGGAGACAGGAGGCATGAAAAGCCAGGGTCTATGGCCCTGCCTATTCAGCATGTTCGTGGTCCCGAGACCCTGGCTGTGGGACACTGCACCCACACAGCCTAGCGAGCCTTCCAGAAGCCAACGGCCTGGCAGCACCCTGTTCACCCACAGAGTGAAAGGGCTCCACGGTTCACAGGGGCCTCCAAACATGCAGCTGGGATTTCCCACGATCCCAACGGTGGGTCAAGTTGGACTTCCTCAGCCCCACTGGTGAGCTCCAGAGTGCAGGCAGCTCACCCGCCTGTTCCCAACTTTTCCTCTTTTTGTCAGCACCCCCCGAGGGCAGAGTCCAGTACAGCTTCCTCCCTAATTAGACAATAATGCATTTATTTAAATTTCCTCTTAAAATTATGAACCACAAGAGCACAATACCTTGAAACCCCTCCAATGTATAAGGACCCCGTACATGCTGTAGTCCAACCCAGTCTGCTCAGTTCTCCTTGGCTTCTAGGAACTACAGTCACACGTGAATGGGGTGTCAGCTTCCTCCCGCTCCCTCCTCAGAACAGGAGACCAGTCCAGCCTCTGGTTCCCTAAATGCTCCTGGTGAAACCCCTTGCCTCACACCACTTTTCCTTCCTGTTGCTGGCTCACGCTTAGTGTTGTGCCCTTCCCTCAGCGTCCTACAATGTTCAGGAGCACACCTACCCCCTCAAGCACCCCCAAGTTATGCGCATGGAAAATGCCTGCAGACAATGGCAGAAATCCCCTGGGTACGAAATCCACCCTGGTTGGGAAGGGAGGTTCTTAGAGGCTCCTGGGATGAAACAGGTATCCAGAAACGGTTCATCAGTCACCACCTTGCTTATCTACTTCACGCACACTCACACTCACTCTCACTCTCACACACATGCACACCCTCACTCTCACCCACAGTCGCACAGCCCTCCACCCTATCACCATCTCCTCACAGAGGACTGGGCTGCCCCATGGTCTGAGGACCGTCTGAGGATATGGCCAGCTGCAGGAGCTGTCCAGTGGCACCAAGCTACGGCTGCACTCACTTCCTCAGCACATGGCTTCCCCTCGGGGATTTAGTCCCTACCCAGAGAGTGGACAGTGCATTTAAAGACTCAGATCCAACAGAGGACACCGCTTTGCAGGACTTGATCTTGTGCCCTGATCTGGGGCCCAGTCCTTCCACCAGGGTCAACACCCAGGTAACCGGAGGCCTGTTTGGCTCAGCAGGAAGAACAGGCCACGCCTCTTCCAGGTGTCAGCCCTGTGCTGACCCTAGGCCCTGCCCCTCCAACACCTCCTAGGGAGGCCTAGTCACAGAACATCAGGACCAGAACTGGCCAAGATGACAAGGCAGGACCACACACAGCCCCAGGGTGGCAGGAACTGTGACTTGTGTCCCCAAGGCTCCTTGATGCACAAGAAATAGTGAGGGGCCACCCCCACAGGGAATTAGGTTGGACCAGGTCTTCCCCTGCTGAAACCCAGTCCAAAACCAGGCCTCCAGGGCACAGCACCAGCTCCTGGCTGCTGGCTCACTTCTTCCTCTCCCATCCGCCTGCTCAAAGAATTCATCGAACCTATGCAGAAGACAGGAAAGGAAACCTGGAGCCAGGAGAAGACTCACAGGCAGACTTGAGCATCCCCACATACCAGCCTTGTGATCCTGAACAAGTTACCTGACCCTTCTACCTCTATTTACTCACCTGCAAAATGGGCAACATAACTTCTGCTCACACCAAGCAGCACCAGGACTCACATTAAGTAATTGCACATTCAATCTGGCAAAGAGCTGCTTAATTCATCAGTGTACTTTCCTCCCCTGGTTGCCTTGGAGACCCTGGGGCTTCTGGGAGGACAGCCTGTGTTTTACACAGTTAGTCCCAGAGGGACCCACAAAAAGATATCCAGCAAATGCCACACAGACCCACAGCCTACAGATCCAATATGCCACTGAGTGTCCTTTTCACCACCCACACTGGCTGATGAGGAACTGAGACCCAAGATGGATGGGCACATACCACTCAAGGTCACTAGACCCCAGAGACAGTCAGTGATTAGCAAAGGCCAAGCTGAGAACAAGATCTGGTGGAAGAAGGGAAGAATGTGACCCTGGGAGGCTGGGTTGGCAGTGAGAAGAAGCATCTCAGGCAACAAGAGGCCACCTGAGACCTGTGAACCAGTCGCTGGGGCTGAGGGGACACCTAGCCTGTGCAAGGATTTAGGAGCACAGGCTCAGGAGTTCAGGGTGTGGGAACTCTGACACCTCCCTCTTCCTGCCTCATGGCACCAAGCAAGCCGTTCCCTTTCCCGCACACCTGGCTTCAGTTCCCCCATCTGGAAAGCATGAACAGCGTCTGTCCAATGGACGGCACGAGTGCATAACAAGCTGAGGGCAGGAGCGGGCTGTGCGGAGGCCAGAGAGCTTGGTTCTGCACCCTCTCCATCTCCAGGCATCTGACTTCTCTCAAGCCTGGGAGCCTCCACGCAGCTCTGTCGCTCCTCTATCTTAAGCCACCTCATGGGACCCATCTGTCCACCTTCTTGAGCAAACTCTGCTGGGGCCCCCTGGAACTCCTAAGGCACAAGACTGCAGGTATCCAGCAGACACACCCATGAGCTGCTTTGGGAGTTCTGCACCCAACACCCCAGGAAGAGTAGCCCCAGCAGGCAGCCCGATGCCCTGTGTAGAGCCATAACAGCAACCCAGGAACCACCTCTCCAGCTCCACTATACTCTCTGTTCTGCTGTCTGGAACCCTCAAGACAACCCTAGGAGGAAGGCACCAGCTGCTCACCATTTAACAGACAGGAAACGGAGGCACAGAGAGGTTAAGATATACGGCTGAATCAGAAAGTAACAAGCTGATCCAGGCTACAGAAACCATAAAGGGGAAAGGTGGCAGTAACGTACACACTCAGATCTCCCCTCCTTCCTTCATCCACATACAATGTTCTAAGGATGGCCCCTGTGACATGGGGCTGTGGGAACACATCAGTCAGCAGTGACAGTCACAGATTTCTCCTCTATCCTGCACAGTCACCATGGAGCTGCTATACATAGTTAGTACCAGCTTTGGGCAAAATCCATTGTCTTACATGTTTCTATTTTCCCTGTACCATCCCCAGAAGGATTTCTGTTTTTGGGTCTCTTTTCTGATTTGGAGAAGGTCACATTCCAGAAGTGTTCACTCACTGAACTGTGCCATCTGCTTCCCTGACGTGTCCCTGGGAGAATGTGGCTGTGACCATGCCCACTTTATAGACAGGCAACCAGAGGCTCCATATCACATGTCCATGGGATTTTCCAAGGGCCACACGTCCAGAGGCCACCAAGGGAAGGGTGTCAAATGACTCCTTTGTCGTGGGCACAGGTGGCAAGTGTGGGGCTTCGGGGTGGCAGGTGACAACCTCACAGAGTCCTCGATGACGCAGAGCAAGGATAGCAGGAAGGAGTGCCTGTGGGGCAAGTTCAGCACTGATTGTCATTGTGTGCACTGGCCCAGATTTTTCCCCAGCCATCCACAGCATGCCTGGTTCCAAAGGCACATCAAAGCCAGTGTTCTTTCCAGCACACTGGGCTCTTTACAGAA